CCCCCCTCCCAATCAAAAAAAAAATCTAAATTTAAAAAAATCTATAAATTCCCCCCTTTCTCTCACACATTTCTCACTATCTTCTCCCTAAAATAGTTATTATTTATTATAAATATTTATAAAATATATTTTAAAAATGGGATCATCTTCATCCGACGATGAAAAAAAGAGCTCTCATTTTTCGTTGTTTCGCCACGAGTTGTATTCAATGGTGGGAAGAAGGAGAAGAAGAAGAAGCTGAATCCTCCCGACGACGGACCCGATGACAACGTTTAAACTGGGATCGAGCGGCCGCCCACGCTTCACTTCTAAACGACTACTTTAATAATCCGTGTGTTTATACACCATAGGATTTTAGTAATCGTTTTCGGATGAGTCGTCCTCTCTTTTTATGCATACTTGCCGATGTTGAACGCGAGGTTCCTTGGTTCACCCAACGCTTTGATGCAAGAGGCCGATGCGGGTTTAGTAGTGTCCGGAAGTGCACTTCCGGGCTCCATCAGTTAGCGTACGGGACGTCATCTGATATGTTCGACGAATACTTGAAGATGTCGGCTCAGAGCATCAGGTCCTGTGTTTATAAATTTTCTAAAGCTATTATTCAATGATACTGTACGGAAAGTTTTGCGAGATGAAAGAAATCAATGATACTGTACGGAAAAGAATATTTCTTCTGCTCCATAGCTTATTACCATGTCATTATTCTAAATTTTCAAATTTTTTATTTATTATGTTTTTATTGATTATTTGATAAAAATCATAAAAGATATTTACGCAAGCTTATAGCGAGCGACATCCAGCAGTTATAGGCAAGGCATGCCGCTAAACACGGCTTTGTCCCATGCTTGGAAGTATTGATTGCACGCATTGGGAATGGAAAAATTGTCCCACTGCGTGGCACGGTCAATTCTCCCGGGGAGATCATCCCAAACCTACTATCATGCTCAAAGTTGTTACTTCAAATGACTTATGGATTAGGCACGCTTTTTTTGGTGTTGCGTGCTCGAACAACGACATCAACGTTCTCGATCAATCGCAAATTTTTGACGATTGGATTAATGAGACCACACCTGACTCTTCTTTTGAGCTTAGAGAGACGCTTTACTAGCATGAATATTATTTGGCCGATAGAATATATCCAGATTATTCCACGATTGTAAAATCCCTCTCCGAACCAATGGGTCTTAAACATCTGACCTACAAAAAAACTCAAAAGGCGGCGAGAAAAGATATTGAACTAGCCTTTGGGGTTTTGAAGGGTAAATGGCACATTCTAGATCGACCGTCAAAATGTTATTCTCAAACGAGAATTAGGAATATCATGTACTATGTATTATTCTTCATAATATGATAATAGAGAACAACGCGACTGCGATTTGTCAATATAACCCGGACGATGATGTGCCTATGTACGAAGAAATCACCGAAAAAAACAAAGAAACCGCCAAGAAATCCCAAGCCGAGAGATTTACAATGCACTAACGGCAGATTTGATCAAACATATCTTTAGTCGCTCGAATAATTAGTAATTTCTTTATAATGTTATTTTTTTTTATGTAATATTTTTTAATGAATGTAATTTTTTTTATGAATGTATTTTTTATGAATGTAATTTTTTTTAATGAATGTAATTTTTTTAATGTACTAGTCTCATTGCGATTAATTTCAATAATAAATTAATTTAAATTTATTAATTTAAATTTAGAAGATGTATATTTAAAAATGTAAAAAATGAAAGTTTGAAGCCCCAGTTTGTTGCTCCAGGGCTTCAAACCCATTTCCAGTGAATCTCTAAGGTAAGTTAAAACTAACGTGGCAGAGAGAGAAATTTTGAAGTCCCAGTTTAAAGCCCCGCGGCTTCAAGAGTATTTCCAGTGCTCTTAGCATTACTCTTGTCAAAACATGATGCCAACAACTGAGCACCACATAGAACTAACACCACCACCCTCATCCCCCCCCCCAACTCACCCTCCTACACTCCCCTCGTCCACAGCCACACACCTCGCCCTATCCATCCCAGCCAACCATCCCACTTTCAACCCCACCCCATCACCCCAGCCGCACCACCCTTCCATGAACCCCATCCAACCACCCTAGTCCCGCCCCCATTCATCAAGCATTTTCCCTTATGCTATTAAAATATTACTAATGTATTTAATTATCTCAAAACATTTTTTTCAATATTAATTTTTAAATATCATTAACAAAGACTAATTTTTAAAAAAAGATAGTCTCCTTCTCATGAAACAACGAGAAAATATGATTGAAAGATAATTTTTCTAAAAAATTATTTTCCTTTGGAAGATATTCTTCTAGGAAAATATTCTCTCCTCAACCAAAACACACATTAAAATGAAATGTGTTTTCTCAATAATCATATTCACTTCATACAATGTCATTACACATAAAAGAACTTTTTTGTTAACCAAAAAGAAACTACTCACAAAGCAGTGGATGAACCAAAAAGGTCACCTAAAAAACAACAAGACAAAGTCTTCCATGGACCTAAGATTCTGTAGTATAAAAAAAATGAGCCTTTTTAAAAAAAGAAAATATCAATATGCAAGTCAATGAAAAATGTGAAAAAATTTACTTTAATTGTGGACCTTGTGACCATGAAAGCATCACTTGTCAAACATGGCTTTCTTCAAAAACAGAAACAAAATTAATTGCTGTTGATTGGGTAGATAAATTTTCAAAATTGTTCGTAAAGGAATTTTGAAAAAAAACTTGTCCCAAAACCTTGCCCAAACTCTGCCCTGCCCCATATCTTATCCAAACAAACATGCACAAAGATGAGTGCATAAAACATGCAATGGCAGTGAAGCACAGACTGCTTTTATAGAGCAAATCTTGAGAACAATGCAAAACGACTCTAAAACTAATGGGAATAAGGACAATATGGCAGCTAAAAAGTTCACAGGAATGCCTTACATCCAATAAATAGCAAAGAAGATTGAAAGAGGTTAACTTAAGGATGCCCAAACCGGATACGGGCATTCGTATGTCCAATCTGGTCCAGAGTACTTAACACAATGCAGCCATATGCCCTCTTCAGAACCATCATACCTGCATTTTGAAACCCATAGTGCATAAACTCTAAACAGATCCTATGAAACCAAAACCAGAGCAAATTCAGAGGCCAATTTCAATCTGAAGAGTTTCATACTCCCTCTGACCAGACAAGAATTTTATTTACTAAAATGACAAGCTACGTAGTGACATATATGTTGTTTTAGATTTTCAAAAATGCAATTGTAATATGGAGTTTGAGGAATTGGGGATATTAATTGAAAGCATCTTTTACTCTTAACAAATAAGGAAAGTAGGATCATTATTATTAAACTGATATATTAATAAATGAAGGTGTGTATATGCACACATCACATCACAAGAATTCGAAGTTCAAACTTCCTCCCCTTTGCTGTATAAAAAAATAACAATCCTGGACATGTTTCGTTATTGGTCACTATGGACTGTTGGCTCACATGCCATATAGAGTAAAGAAGTTATGAATGCTCCATGTTATTGAATTGTTGATTAGTGGGATGAGTAAAGTGTATATGATTAAGCCTCATATAAATAAATAATAAAATATTACAATCGCAATATAATTTTGAGATGCTTTAATTATATATCTATTATACTATAAACTAGCCATAATTATAATCCTACAATATATTGAAAACTATAATGATATATATGTCCTAGTGTATTGCTCTACAACTTTACATCCTATACAGCGTCGACTTATAATACTCCATACGCCGTGCAATGAAGTTTACTTTTTTCCTTTAATAAGTTCAAGAAAAATGTGGAAAATCGAAAAGTGTGGTTGGAATTGTTTTGAAAAATAGAAATATCATGAGCCAAATAATGCTTCCCTGAAAAGAAAATGGAAGAGGTGTAAAATGTAAACTTTATTTTAGGGGGAGGTAAAAAAGGAAAGCGTCATTGAGGGGCAGAGGGAGTATATGATAACATATTCTTTTCATTCGGTTTTCTCTCTCAAATGCGCACATAGAGATACGTATAAGGGATAAGATATTGGGAACAAATTACTACAAGCTTATTTACGCCAAACTAAAAATTCTTACCCTTTGGGGGCCAGATTTGGGCAATTTGTACACATCGGGTCATTACTGAATTCTTCATTTCCCGAATTCGCAGCAGAACCACTTCCAACATTTTTGGGATTTAGAACATGGCTTGACTTATTAGCAGCTCTATCCGCACTTGTTCCAGCTTCGGAACGAGGAATGCACTCGGAGAGATAGAGTGTATCATTAGCTATTGGATGCCCAATATATTGTAGATGCACACGTATCTATCACATTGCAAATAGTCATAAGAATTTAGTTTGCAAAAGAGGTAAAAAAATATTACATCATACAATCTGCACCATAAATCACATGAAGAGTGTTGGAACAAAAAAACTCAGAAATGAAACTACTGCAATACAATAAGAGGTACAGGGTAAGGTAAAATTCTTGTATATCAGATCAAGGGAATGAAACACGCAGTAAGTCCATGAGGTGTGAATGCACATAACTGCTCATTAGTGATTACTATCTACTCCGTAGTCCTTACTAATTAAACACAGAACATAAAGGAATATATATATATCATTTTTTTGCTTAAGGAAGCTTTCAATTTCATATTGAATTGTTTAGTACTTAGAATCTAATATTGAATGATATTGTTTCTGTAAACCTCGTCAGTTTGCAACCAATTCATCGTCAAACAAATAGAAAGCATTTGATTTTTCATAAAAAGCATGCTTTCTTCTAGTTTGGCAGTTTCACTTTTCGTGATAGGAAGTTTCATTTAAAGCACTCTCTGATTATGACACTTATGCACAGATCCCAATGGTTTCCGCAAGTCAGAAATCATAAAATTCCCCTACCAAAACAACGACAACAAATCGAATATGATCCCAACACCATTGGGATCTGCAGGTCAAGATGTACAAATCCTGAAGAGAGGCTGTTTTCATTAGACCCTTGATGCATTGCTTCATTTATTGCCCATTCTTCATAGAAAGTACGAAGCAAGAGAAGTTTAATAAACCATTTTGATTTAGTCATTATTTGGGTGAATCTAAATCATTGTCAATAATGACTCTTGATAGAAACCCCCATCCGTTCAAAAAAACCATGCCTAGTTTGACTCAGCCTTATCAAAGGCGCAAACGGCGCGCACCATTTATTGCCATTGGCGTTTTGGCTTCCAAATGCCACAAATCTGGTTCAGGCAATCGATCATCCCATGGCAATGCCATTTGTTCACCATCACCATATATGTGCCATTGCATTTTATTTTTTTGGCACAAATGGTTCAAGCCCAATATGTTTCGGCCCAGCTCAAAAAAATCTTTTATTCAAATGAACCCTCTCACTCTCCCGTCACTCTTTCCAATCACACGCATTTGTCTTTGTACAAGAGTCGACATCGCGAATTTTCTTCTTTTTTTACAATCGAGTAGGGGCAAGGTCTGCGTACACACACCCTCCCCAGACCCTACTGTTGTGGGATTCAACTAGGTTGTTGTTGTTGTTGTTGTTGTTGTTGTTTTACAATCGAGAGTAGCACAAGAGTCACCATCACCACCTGCATATTACGAGACTCAACCCTAGTCAAACGACTCTGCACCCTGCGACAGTCTAGCTGCGACCTCCGACCCCCAACCCCAGGGAACGGTAAGTAATCTGTTTTACTATTTCTTCAAGAATTGCATGCACTCTTGCCAGGGAAAACTGCACAAAGCTGAAACCAAAAACAAATAATGACTTGGTATGCAAACTTTGTGGCCATATACGTACAGGTGGGATTACAAGATTTAAACAGCATTTGTTAGGGGGCGCATCATAACACAAGAAAATGTCCTACAATCCCTGAAATGCTGTGGGGGGCAGTGGCCCAATGGACAAGGTTGTTCATATCCAACTAAAAAAACACAAGCTGTTGGTGGTGCAAACCACTATTCCGTCCAAGATGAAAAGCAAAGAAAGAGATGAACATGCTCAAAGCTTATCTTTGTGGATGTATAGAAATTGCATCCCATTTAATGTGGTTTGAGATCCATTGTTCAAAGAAACATTAGAAAAGATTTGCAGGTTTGGGTCAGAGAAATATCCTTGCGCAAAGTAGTGGAGAAAACCAAGGATGTGATAAACGAACACAAAAATATGGGCAATGAATGAATGTACTATCATGTCAGATGGTTGGGCTGATAAAAGACATGTACTCTTGTGAACTTTTGTGTCAGTTATAGCAAAGACAGCGTTTTTATAAGAGCAATAGATGCTTCTTCTTATAAGAAGACCGGTGATGCACTTTTCAAGTTTTTTGATCAATGGATTCGAAAAGTTGGCCATCAAAATGTGATGCAATGGAGTCAAAAGTGTCAAATCAAAGTAGAGCACCATAAAGTTTGGTATTAGAGTAAAATTCAGTGGAGTCTTTTTTAAAGTAAATTAGAGCTCAGTAGAGTTCGTGAAGTAATGTAGAACTCAGTAAGGTTACGTGAAACTTAATTTAATGAGTTGAAGATACAGTTCAGCTCTCAAATTCTTCAACATTAACTGTTTAAAAGAATATCAGTTCAAGAGTATTTAGATGTCCTAATTCAAGTTTCTCTGGTGTTCAGTATTTAGCTTCATGCTCTAGTTTACTTTGCAGCTTGGAGAGTACTGCCATTTGCTAGTGTTGAAGTGTAGAAATGTAGTAGTCTTAGTTTGTGAAACATTATAGATTCACAATCTATCTAGATTTATTTCCCATTCAAATTGGGGTTGGGCTCATTTTTTCTCCAAATAAGCTTTTTAATAATCTTTAGAAATATTGTAGTCACACATAAATGTTCTATCAATGAGAATAGTTATATTCAACATATTATACATTAATCCTCACAAAGTAGAGAGCATATGAAATTCACTGGATTAGTGTGCCATCATGGATAACACAATATGGTAATACTGAATAGAATACCTGATGTGTCCTTCCAGTGATTGGTTGGCAGAGTACAATACTTTGCTTCCCATCCGTACAAATCCGCGTAAAATGGGTAGAAGCAGGCTTTCCCACAGCACCATTGCCGCTAACATTATTTTCTCTCACCTGCTATTTAAATCAAGAATTCCAAGGTAAAGCATGGTTATGTACAAAGGAAAGTGTCCTTTAAAAAAAAAAAGGATGCCAAATGACATGGAAACTTCTGTGTCAATTTTGAAAGCAGACAGTGGTAGTTTCTTACAATGCCAAAAATTAGGCCAATTTCTGTAACCAGCATGCAGAGAGAGATTTATACATTAGTTTATTTCCTGTATAGGCAGAACAAACTGTGGTGACAGTAACTACGAGAGGGAAAACATGATCAAGAGACATCTAAACAACTTGAAAATTAGATGGCTTGCAGAATCGGCCTGTTAATATGACATCACTAGGCTAATGTTCAGTTACCTTGTACAGTTGTACTCAGAATTAGTGATAGAACAATTTGCTCTTCCTTAATAAGAACGTGTATCTTGACATCCAGGCCAACCAACTATTTTCCATTTGTGAAATAAGAAATGTTAATAGCAAAGCCTACTTGATAAAATCGACAGTATATTAGATCGTTTTAACACATTTTGAGTTCATTTATCACAAAATTCCTGAAGTTCTTTCTCTCCAGTTTATAACGTCCATACCCATCTCTCCAAAACTCCAAGTGTTTATCCTACAATCACCACCAAATGTTGTAGCATACAGGAGAGCGAAGATTATTTGGAGTGAAAACTGTAATGACCCATCACCCATGTGTCAATTAGAAATTCTGTTTTTTTGCATTCGTCTGATGTACTGAGGGTTTTTCTCAGATTAATGAATAAAGAATTATCTGCTTCTACATGTGTCCTTTTCCTTGCCCCTTTTTCTCTCCTGCTTCCTTGTCCGAATTTTTCTCTTCTTATTCCATGTAACGTTCTAACCAGCTGAAGTATTGATTTGCAAGGGTTTGTTTGCTAAAAAGGTACCAAAAATGTCCTTTGCATGACAATTCAAGTTTGAAGTGTGAAAGTGGAGGAATTTCAGAATGCAGTCTATGCACATTTGGCCCAATGATGCAGTGTATGGATTAGTTCAGGTTGTTGGTCACGGATCTCGCCATGGACAAACAGTAACGTAGAAGAAGACGAGGAAAAACATAGAGGAGGCCATAGTTTGTGAGGCGCCAATGTACCTTCATATATGGGTTCGTCAGGTGAGAATATCCTCACTGTGCGAATACGAAAATGGTGCATTTTCAGACTGTCGCGATGCATTTTACACTTGTAGTACATTTTCAGAAAGTTCAATTTATTTACAAAATTGGCACCACAATTTTTTCATTTTTTTCAGAATTTTTTGTTTTTAATAGCCATTTTGTTTTCAATCAGAATTTTTTGTTTTTAATGGATCATATGCACTCTCATTTCTTTCACCGTGCACCATTCTCATTCGATCCTATATATATATATACACATATATATATATATATATACATATACATATACATATATATATACATATACATATATATATATATACATATATATATATATATATATATATATATAGTTTTTTTAACCCGAAAGAAAACCACCAAAAAAAGTGAGGTAAGGTCCAGGCACCCTTACCAACTAGATTAAAGAGGAGAATGTACAAATGGGTTGGGCTAAGACCCAACAGATCCCAAAAACGCAAAAGGAAAATCAAAATACAATCCAACAACGAGCTTAGAGTGCCGCCTGAAAAACTGTCAAGCTCCTTCCATCTACATCTTTGCATCTTCAACCTTCTTGTGATGAATTCTGAATCAATCCAAGGGAGACGTTCTTCACCGAGTAAGGTAAGCTTTCAGGTTCAACGCTTCAATTTCTTCCCTGGACGCAATTTTATGTGCTTTTTTGTTAGACCAGTACCATTGTTGAACAAGTTTCGGAATTACTCCAGTCAGAAGACACTTTACGGTGAGATGACATGCTACGGTCAGATGACGCAAAGCTCACCACTGGCCGCTGCAAAGCTCACCAAAGATAACTACAAAGCTCCCCAAATAGTAAGGCTAAGCTCACCATATTTTTTCAACACTTTAAATTTTTTTTGAAAAAAATAAAATCAAAGAATGGGGTGCTGACTAGATTTTGATCGTTGACCGTCACCTTTGACTACCGCCTCCTGCCTGCCGATGTCGGTCGTCGCCGCCGGTCACTGTCGGTCGCCGGAAGCCGCCGCCGGCCACCGCTGTTGATCGGTGGTTGATGGATGGATGGATGGATACATCCATGCATGCATCCATCCATCCATCCATCCATGCATCCGTCCGTCCGTCCGTCCGTACGTCCGTACGTACGTCCGTACGTACGTACGTACGTACATACGTACATACGTACATACGTACATACGTACATACATACATACATACATACATACATACATACATACATACATACATACATACATACATACATACATAC